TTTTGCACTACACTGTTTACACTGTTTATATACTGGTTTCTGTTTTTGCACTACACTGTTTACACTGTTTATATACTGGTTTCTGTTTTTGCACTACACTGTTTACACTGTTTATATACTGGTTTCTGTTTTTGCACTACACTGTTTACACTGCGTATATACTGGTTATTCTGTTTTGCACTACACTGTTTATATACTGGTTATTCTGTTTTGCACTATTTATTTATGCTGTTGTTTACATTCTGTTTATCTATTTATTCTCTATTGCACTCATTATTATTATTTTTGTTCTTGTTTTTTGTTACATAGACTATATTTTTAGTTTTTAAACTGCCCCATAATTCCATCTCTGTTGTAATCCGGAAGCCAAGCAATGACATTTCGTTGCCAAAATCTCACTGCTGTGTTTTTTTTGTGCAATGACAATAAATAAAGTCTAAGTCTAAGTCTCTAAGTCTCTAACATCAGGAAATTGGTGCTCATCCAGTTTGATACTACTGTTTTATCCATTCAAATTCCTCCAGCAAACTGGCATTCCTTATTCCAACTTGAGGTGAGAGATTGTCCGTGCTTAAATCCAGTTGTTACTTTAGTCCAGTATTTTGCAAATCATCCATATATATAATGCTACATGGAAAAATTGCAAGGTTTCTCATCATATGTGGTATAATAAAACCATTTAGGATCTCCGAGGTTTATGCATGACATTAAATTTAACTGATCATTCATGTCCTGATCCCTGTTCTAATTGTTTTTGGTATCGCTCTATGTTTTTGTTCCTATGCACTTACTTGTATGCGAGCCCTCATGTACAGATGGATAGGTGGAATAGTGGGAGGAGAAAAAACATTGTATGTTAAAATACCTATTGAGCAAACCACTGACAATGAACAGAATGTCTACTTAATGTCAAAATGAGCCCCAGGAAACCCTTTCATTGATTCAGAGAATGAAATGGATTGATTACTTTCTTCTGGCTTCATCGATAAATACAACTGTGTATCATCCGCATAACAATGGAAATTTATAGAGTGATTTCTAATGATGTTACCTAAAGGAAGCATATATAGAGTAAATAGGATTGGTCCGAGCACAGAACCTTGCGGAACTCCAAAACAAACTTTGGTACGTAAGGATGATTCATTATGAACGTCAACAAACTGAAAACGATCAGATAAATAAGATTTAAACCAGCTTAGTGCAGAACCTTTTAGGCCACTTAAGTGATCCAGTCTCTGCAGTAGAATTTGATGGTCAATTGTGTCAAACGCCGCACTAAGATCTAATAAAACAAGAACAGAGACGAGTCCTTTGTCTGAAGCAATCAGAAGGTCATTTGTAATTTTAACTAGTGCTGTCTCAGTGCTATGATGCACTCTAAATCCTGACTGAAATTCCTCAAATAAATTATTATCTTGGAGAAAATCACACAGCTGGTCTGCGACTACTTTCTCAAGGATCTTTGACATAAAGGGAAGATTAGATATTGGTCTATAGTTGGCTAACACCTCTGGATCCAGGGTGGGCTTTTTTAGTAGAGGTTTAATTACAGCTACCTTAAAAGACTGTGGTACATAGCCTGTTAATAAGGATATATTGATCATATCTAATATATGAGTGTTAACGGAGTCATACATCCACAGGATGGACTGGTGGGCGGAGTCATACAACCACAGGGTGGACTGGTGGGTGGAGTCATACCACCACGGGGCAGACTGGGGGCGGAGTCATAAAACCAGGGGGGTGGACTGGCGGGCGTAGTTATACAAACAGAGAGTAGTGACTATAACTTACTTCCTTGACTGCTCACTAACTCGTCTCTGTTGTGTCCAACAGGTACATCGTTCCTCAGTCATGGATCCAGGTCTCACCATCATCCTTCTGGGAAACACTGGAGTTGGTAAAAGTGCTTCAGGAAACACCATCCTGGGACGAGCTGCGTTTGAGTCCAAACAATCCATCAGACCAGTGACGACACAGATCAGTGAAGCCACTGAAACTGTGTTTGGCAAACAGGTCTCAGTGGTGGACACTCCAGGGATCCTGGGACATGAGGCGGAGATCCAGACCTGGTGTCAGGAGCTCCTGCAGTCCAACAGACCCTGTCTGTTCCTGGTGGTGTTCAGTGTCGGACGCTTCACCAGACAGCAGGAAAAGGTTCTGTTGGCAGTGAACAGAGTCCTCAGACCTCTGGAGTTCAAACAGTGTCACCTGCTCTTCACAGGTGGAGGCGCTCTAGAGGACATGTCTTTGGAAGACTTTGTCTTTGAAGGTGGAGAAAGTTCATCTCTCAGAGCAGTGTTTTCAGGGAGGTGTCATCTGTTCAACAATGAAGATGGAGGAGAGGAACAAGTCAGAGACCTGCTGGAGAAGACAGGTCACCTCAGAGTCCAGCAGCCCCCCGAGTCACCAGGTACCTAACTCAAGTCACAGAGTCAGTAACTCAAGTCACAGAGTCAGTAACTCAGGTCACAGAGTCATTGACTCAGGTCACAGAGTCAGTAACTCAAGTCACAGAGTCAGTAACTCAGGTCACATATCACATAGTAAGTTACTCAAGGCACCGAGTCACTAATTCAAGTCACAGAGTCAGTAACTCAAGTCACAGAGTCAGTAACTCAAATCACAGAGTCAGTAACTCAAGTCACAGAGTCACTAACTCAGGTCACATAGTAAGTTACTCAAGGCACCGAGTCACTAATTCAAGTCACAGAGTCAGTAACTCAGGTCACAGAGTCACTAACTCAAGTCACAGAGTCAGTAACTCAGGTCATAGAGTCAGTAACTCAGGTCACAGAGTCACTAACTTGTGTCACAGAGTCACTAACTCAGGTCACTGAGTCACTCGTTCAGACCAAAGATTCACGATCAGTTTGATCATCGAGTTCTAACAGGAAGCTACTGACAGGAAGTGACCGCCATGAGACGGCGTATCATCTCTAGTCAACAACTCTCTGTGCTTCTGATCTGTAACGTTGACAGGAAGTGACCTGTCAGACCAGCCAGTTCACACCGCTGACACTTTTCTCTCACACGTTTCATCTCATCGTGAGTCTTTGGTCTGAACCGGACTTTACATGTCAGCACATTTAGTTTAACTAAGGAGGTGCCATGTTGGATTGTTTGCACATATATTACAACTCATTTGACCGATAACTGATATTGATATATCCACTTCTTTCCCATCTAACTTCAGTGATCATCATCATCCGGTCTCTGCTGTAGATGAATTAAGATCATATTATACACACAGACTGTGATGCGACGGAGACACTGCTCAGTGTTAGTGGGGGGGTCGATTCTTAGATGCATCATGATGTGGATGTGGACGATTCGGCATCGATTCACAAATGTCAATAATCAGTAATGTAAATGTTTGTTCATCATGTGATGCTGATGGAACAAAAGAGGCGGAGTTCAGCTGTAAAGTCACAGCGCAGACGAGCTGAAGTTAACTTGTACTAATTCATCTTCACTTAACTCAGCGGCTGCAGCTTGTCTTAATTTAATGTCTGAATAATTACATATGCGAGGTGAACAGGAAGTACACTCTGAATACTGACTGACGCCACCACCACCCAGAGACTGACATCAATAAGCCTGTAAACAGGCTGACCAACACCTGCTGCAGCACTGACCGCATTAAACTCCGCCCCCGGCCTGCCCACCGTCTCTGATGGAGACAGAGGTTGCTCGCAGCTCCTCTGCTGGCAGGACGTAAAGAACAAGACTCCGCCTCCCCTTCAGGCTATTCTCATACACACTGGAGACTGTAAGGTGTTTTCACATTCATTCATCAGTGCAGTTAACGTGTTAAAATAAAAAGGATGAGGACCATAATGTTATTAATAGAAGGTGAACTGCAAACTGTTTAATGACCCCACACAGGCGTGTTTGTGTCACATGTATATGTACATCACCCCCCCCGATCAGTGTCCTTAATATTCATAAAGCATGTTGGCTGATTCTGAGTTTCAGAGCTGATATGGTTTGATACTGATGTCGTGCTGATGTTCTGGTGCATCCCTGAGTTGAACACTGTTGATGATGGTCTTGTTTGATTCCTTCTGGACACACTGTGTGTCTTCATCATACCTGTTATGTCTCCACAGACAGGAGGATCCTTCTGCTGGGTCTCCCTGGAGAAGGGAAGAGTTCATCAGGAAACACCATCCTGGGGTCAGATTGCTTCACCTCGGTCTGTGGCTTTGATTCCATCAGTACTGAGGCCGTGTGTCAGTCAGCAGAGGTGGAGGGTCGTCAGGTCACAGTGGTCGACACTCCTGGAATCACTGATGCAGCTCTGACTCCTAAACAGCTCTATGAGGAGGTGATGAAGGGGATGATGAAGGCTGGTCCAGGACCACATGCTTTAGTGTGTGTGGTCAGAATAGGCAGCGTGTCGGCAGCACACATTAAACTGTTTGAGATACTTTCACAGCTGCTCCGCAGAGATGCCTTCAGGTACTCCATGGTGCTGTTCACTCATGGAGACCAGCTGGGAGCTCAGACCATCAACAGTCTGATCCAGTCCAACAGACACGTGTCTGGACTGGTCTCCATGTGCGGGGGTCGATTCTGTGTGTTTGACAACAGAGCCAGAAGAAGCAGAGAGCAGGTCAGAAGCTTCCTGAATAAAGTAGATGAGATGGTGTCAGCCAATGGTGGAGGACACTACACCTGTGACATGTTCAGGGCGGCTCAGCCAGGTGTCATAGCTGACATCATCTGGGGAAGAGTTCTACCATTCCTGAAGCAACACAAGTTTGTCATCTTTGCAGTTTTCTCACTCGGCCTGATCACATATTCATTCATGAGAAACATGAAAACAGCTGCACATTCACTGGAGAGCCCTGATCTGCGCGACAACCTAAAACCATAAACTCTGACCACTTCCTGTCTTTCCTCCCAACCCGTACGAAGTGCTCCAACAGAGACCAGGAGCTGAAGCCACAGATATGAACCTTCATCAGATATTAAACCATCAGCGCTGCTCAGAGTGACGCTGTCAGGTTTCATTAGAATATCATCGTCATGTTTTCAGCTGCACTTTGACTCTAAGGAGAGAAATTATGAATTACTGATTAATCAATATCCATATAATCATATTAGATATCTGTTTGGATCCATAATATTTACTGATTACTGATTATTGGTTGTTAAATGTTTTCTTGACATGTAAAGTTCATGTAATCACGGAGTCGTATGAATGAGTGATGATGTAAACGGAATAAGGATGATGTCAGATCATTGGACGATCAGATCTGATCACGTGTGGGAATTATTTAGGAATCTGTACTGGGGGGCAATTCTTCACACCTTGAGGTCATGACCTTACAGTTCTTAGGGGGAAGTTTCCTGCTTTGCTAAACCTTTTATTGGGGGGGGGGGGGGGACAACCAATTGTATCAGGATGGCCACCACCCCCACAGACAACTCTTGGGAACTCCCCTGCTTCAGAGCCCTTACAGTATGTTTGTCTAGTTAGTCAAGATTCCTCAAAGTGCCGTATTACACAACACGACTGAGCCACCCAGTCTGACGGAGGGCTGGGGGTGAGGGGGGGGGGGGGGGT